ACGGATTAACCGTATTTACACTGAACCTTATGGGGAAATTTGATTCGGGTCGCGACCAATTCGGGTCGCTACCAGAGTTGCGGAACGAATTAAGTTCGTGAACCGAGGTTCCACTGTATTTCTTATGAGATGGTATACATATCAAACATGAAGAAGTCTACTATATCTCTAACCTGGAAAGGGTGGAAATCTGAAATGATACAGGCAATGAAATGGCCAACTAATCCCCACTCTATTGTAAAGAAACAGAAGAAATAATACTAATGATACTAATACTACTACTACTAATAATAATAAAACTTGTGTGCCACCCAACTCTCAACAAATCTGGAAGGTGTAGAGTGAAAGAAAAAGACAAAACATGCTGATTATGAGAGAGCTAGTGTACCGTCAGCCCCACTAGATGGATCAGACCATGAAATCAACTCTACAAGAAGGCTAAAACTATTTTTATTGAGACTAGCTATTATAATAGAATGTTGTATGTCTGATTGTGCTAAATCTCCTTCTTATAGTTCAGTGAATTAAGGAGGCATCTGTTTGAGCCATTTCCAAATGTTATCTGGCTCTTTAAAAAATGTTTCAGCTTCTTTTGCCTAGGCAACAGCTCCTGCCTTACACTCTACACATATAGTATTCTAAATATACGTCAGATAACATATTTAACATATAATAGAACTGTTTTATATTAGATTTTCCAATTGGTACTTTTGAGAAGTGTTAATTGCATGTCATGGCACATCTCAAGCACTACATAAGCATACCTTATTAGTCTTTTGCATGGGGATATTAAGAACCCACAACTTTGAAATTGTTGTATTATTTATTTTAAGGAAATAACTCAGAATTAGTAACAGAACAAGCAGTAAAATAATTTAGTTCAATGACAAACACTGAAAGGACTTCATAATTTCACAACAACCATTTTCTTCTGCTGCAGCCTTTCCTCTGTGATTGTACAATTAGCTTCAATTCTTTTCATACTGTAAAGGTAGTTAGGAGAAACTAAATGAAGCAATGAATATCTTACCTCCTAACAAAAGATTCAAATGCTTGAATGCAATATTCTCGAAGTTCATCATCATCTATGTTACAAAATTTTACTACTAAAGGGATAATTTTCTCAAGATATTCACCTGATGGCAGAAAAATAAATACAATTAATATGAAACGTTTAACACTTCACATGAAAATTAGAAAGACTGCATACTATATAAATGTATTTACCTATCCTATGACCTGCTTGCCTACTGATGGCAGCAATACATTGTATATAGGTTCTTGTTGTTGACATGGAATCATTTTTTGAAAGCTCGGTCAAGAGGTGCTCAATAAGGTCAACAAACACTATGTTGCCACAGCTCATAACAAGATGACCAAGAGCAATGATGGTTCTTTTTCTCACAGCAAGCCTTGGACTAGTTAGCTGAGGAAGCAGACAGGTCAGAATAGAAGGATGGAAGTTAACAAGCAGTCCTCCTTGCCTTAAAACATAAAAAAAAAAAAAAAAAAATCAGGGAAAAGAGTCAGTATAATAAATTATGTTGCCTAGGCATTCTTGAAATTAGCTTTAAAGACAAACATGCACAGGACAGGTTTTTTTAAATATGTTTTTTAATCCAGCCTTTATTATTTTTATAAATAACTCAAGGTAGCGAATATACCTAATACTCCTTCCTCCTCCTATTTTCCCCACAACAACCCTGTGAGGTCAGTTGGGCTGAGAGAATGGCTGGCCCAAAGTCATCAAGCCGTCTTTCATGTCTATGAACATCTTTAATGTGTATGTTTACCTGCTCAGCATGTCAGCCATGATGTCCAAGGCCTCTAACTGAACAGACACGTCCTCTTGTTTTGCAATAGCACTAGTAAGTCGCCCAGTAATTTTTTTACAAACATTAGCTGCTAATGCAGAACCTGGAAATAAATGCAATTTCATCAATATTAAAGTAATAATTATTGGCATAGTTCTGTGATATTTCCAAAATAAAATGTTACTTATTTTGTAATACATGTATTTGAATAAATTATATAACTAATCTATTTTTATTTCCTAATAAGGTATAAGCATAATTGCATAGCACACAAAAGAACAAACCACATGCACCATAAGTGACTGCAATCTATAACAACTTCTTACCCAAGCTTCCAGTTATAACTCAGATCTCTTTGAGAACTATTTAGAAAAAGAATATTAGAACACCAAGCTGGTAAAACTAAATAGCACCACAGAATAAAGTTCTGTACAAATTATTTTAACAAGCTGGACGAGACAATAAAATGTTGCAGTGTGTCTGAATACTCTATCAGATTTTTCTTCATGCCTGGTTTTCTTTTTTCACTAGATTATTTAATGTTTTGGCTACATAAAAAATAGTGCTTATACCCAATGTCAGAAATAAGAGAATTATAGCACCATACAATTTAAATTTTACAACTATAAATTGCAAATGCATGGAACTATATTAAGTGAGCCACGTTATTCTCACTGATGTTTGCTATTTCATGTGAAAGAGTAATGACACAGAAGCAGCCATAGTTTTGTAATACTTAATATTCTCTATTGATTGTTAGGTATCATCAGGATCCCAAGTTGCAAACTGTTAAATAAAATTAGATTTGTTACTCTGAATTACAGATATTTCCAATTTGAAATCAAATCAAGATGTTAATTTGCTCATTTCTATTAATTTCACTTTTCTAAAAGTACTATTACAAACAGACTGATACTAGAACAAAAGGAGTATAATTTACTCCTTTTAAAGTGTTTTTTTATTTAAAAGAATAATGTATCAACAAAATATTTTTTCCTTGAGAGGGGTCATTCACATATCAATTAAATGGTTCAAAGCAGATCTGTTCAAATTAGTAGCATTTACCACAAAAGGATGAGTACAGTATCACATCCAAAATCTGTGTGTTTTAAAATCAAGGAAAAAATTATTGTGGGTCAAATTGATAGCTAACATAATCAGAGTAAGTAAGCAAGAGAGTAAGAGCAGATGAGGATTACAAAACCTTTAATTATCAAGTATCTATCTCATGGTGGCTCAAACTGGGATAAATAAAAAGTTGCTGGTTAAAGGCAATTTAGATGCACTGAACTACTATAGACTGCTCTCTGTGTGAAATTTCATGTCACATTGTACAACTCACAATTATGCCACACAGTGCAGGCAGAGCTTGTTGTTAAAAATGAGCTGTGTTATGCTAGACAGAGTTTGCAGCATAAATCCTGGGCCATGCTGCACAACACAATCATGTCACACAATACCATACAGATAATATTAATCAAGGACCAAAATGTCCATCGGCTTTATTTTTTGAACTCTTCCTGTTTCCTCTCTTGAAACACATAAAATCCAAGCTGGAAATTAAAACAGTAGAATAAAGATACTTAAAAGCAAAGATTACCAATTTCCCCAATATCAAATCAAATATTTAAAAATAGGATAATTATTTCTGTTAGAACTTTATCTGAACTCAGGTTGACTGACTAAAATCAAGCTAGATAATAACTGACCCAGAGAAGAAAAAGAGAAAGATTTACCACTGGATGCAGGAGGAAGTTCTCCAATAACTGTTTTTAGGCCAATGCTTGAAATATCACGTAGCTGTTCTTTGTCAGAAAGCATGTTAGTACAGAGGGTATCAACAATTGTCTCTACTTGGTATTCTTTCACTTTACTCACCAGGGGCCCAAGACTGCAATGAAACCAAAACAATTTAAATTGTAACTAAAAATATTGAAATATTCATTGATATTTATAAATAAAACTTGTGCTACACATCAACACAGAGGAAGGCTTGTGTTTCCATTCATTTAAATTAACCAGTTTCAAATCAAAGCATGCATTGGATGATGACATATGCTTCCATTATAACACAGATATTAAAGTGATTATTTAGTCATTGGTTGGTCAAAAGATAATCATTTCAATAATATTTTGCCAAAAACACATTTATTAAACTTTCCTGTTAACAGCCCAAAGTGTAAATCACACAATTATTTTTGTGAGTTTCACAAGATAAGCTTTATTAAGAAAATAGTACAGGTAGTCCTCAGTTAATGGTTGTAACTGGGTCCAGGAATTCCGTTGCTAAACAATACGGTTGTAAAGCACAATGTCATGTGACCACACAAACTTATGACAGCAGTTCCAACAGTTCCAGTTGTGGCTGTTAGGTGCAATGTCATGTGATCACCATTTGCAACCTCCTGCCAGCTTCCTTATTGACTTTGCTTGTTGGAAGCCAGCAGTGAAGGTCACAACTGGCAATCACATGACTGCAGGATGCTGCAATTGTCATAGTTGCAAGTCGATTGCTAAGTGCCTGAATCACGATTATGTGACTGTGGGGATGCTGCAACAATTGCAACTTTGAGGAATTGTCTGTATGTCTTCTCATTCAGTGCTGTTGTAACTTCGAACAGTCACTGAATGAATGGTCATTAATTGAGGACTACCTGTATTTCTTAGTAAGTCTCAACTTGTTACACTTGGAAGAAACAGGAAATAAAGAGTAACGAATAAAAGTTATTTTTCTTCTAAGTGTAAATTGTTTTTTGTCAATAAGAGTATGTTTGAGATTTTGGAACTTCCCCATTTAAGGGTGGTGTGCAATTTGGGGGTCTTCCTGGACTCATAGCTCCTGCTTAATGAGCCAGTGGCAGCTGTAGCCAGGAAAGCCTTTGCGCAGCTTCATCTGGTGTGCCAGTTGCGCCCTTTCCTAGATTGGGGGGCTCTTCAAACAGTTACTCATGTCCTGGTCACCTCATGGATTGACCACTGCAACAGGCTCTATATGGGGCTGCCCTTGAAAACCACCTACAAGCTTCAACTGGTTAAGAATGCAGTAACACTGGCCAATGATGGGCATGCCTCGGTATGCCCATGTAACACCTCCACTTCACAAGCTCCACTGGTCGCCAGTTTACTTCTGGATGCAATTCAAGGTGTTGGTCGCTACCTATAAAGCCTATAAACCAGAGGGCCTAGTTACTTGAGGGACTGTCTGTCTCCCATAGTATCTGCCCAGCTGATCTACTCTGGCAGGACTGACGTGCTGTAGGTTCCTTCAATTAAACAATGCCATCTATTGGAACCCTGAAAGCACACCTTGTTTGTAGTAGCGCCTGACCTCTGGAATACAGTTCCCTGAGATTTGAATGGCCCCCACCCTACTGGTGTTTCAAAGGACACTGAAGATTTGGCTGTTTGCCCAGGCCTGTGGCGAGTGTGATTGAAGCCCCCTTTTCTTCTTTTTCTTTGTTCCCATCTGGGTTTGTTATCTCTGCCATCTTTGTTTGTTTTTGTGTTGTTTTCTTGTTTTAAATGTTTTTAACAATTTATAAACTGGCCAGAGTCACTGGGAGTCAGGAGACATGTAACTTTAATGTTACTGTTGTTGTTATCTCCATCATAGACTGCATTATTCCTTGGCATTATTTATTTTCTATATCACGCATTTTCCTTAGCAGCCTGAGCTGTAGTTTATTTTACAGCTGTTGCAGCTGAAAAAAATGCTGTGGGTTGATTTGATAGCTGATTGATAAAATATTCTGCTGCTAGCACGATAACTTCAAAACTGAACTTTCCTCCCCACTCCTATATGCCCAATACATTTGACACCTGGACAACGTAAATGGATTCTCCGTGCCTTACTATGGCCAAAAGACTGATATTGCAGCATTGGAAAGATAAATGTACAGCTCCATTTATTCAATGGATTGAAGACCTGATTGCACTTGTCACTTATGAGCGGTTTGCCTATAGACATAGACTTTGTATGGACAAGTATAATGAAATATGGGCCTCATTTATACAAAATAGAGGTTAAAAAAATGATAATCATATAAATCTATTAGAAATATATATGTACTTGAATATTTTATTAGGTAAGTATATATAGAATTGAAATTGTTCATTGTTATGATATATTTTTTCCTCTGTTATATTTTTTTCACTTTTTTGTTAAACCACTTTTATGTATTTTTTCTTCCTTTTGTAATAAAATTTTTTATTAAAAAAAAATAACTTTTCTCTCCACTCATAAAGCAATTCTTTAAGCCATAAGGTAGTAAATCACAAAAATACAAGGTAACATTCAATAGTTTTCCAGCTTCTTTACAATAAATGATTTTTTTAAGACTAAGAATGTATAGATAAAGTTGATAAGAATAAAGAAGAGAAACAAGTAGCAGGAACTTTGAGAGGAAGTAAGCATATATACCTGGGGTTCAAGATACTAGAGAAAGAGAAATTGGAGCATAGTACTAGGTGGGATTCCATGGACAGAAATCCTCAGGACAAATGGGGTGCAGTAGTTAGGAATTTTTCAAAAATAAGACAAACAGTATCAATTACAAAGACCATTTCAATCAGCTGGATGGAGGTCAGCTTAGGAAATTGTTGTGAATGCATAGGAAACTTTAAATTGATCTAAGAATTAAAAGGGGCACGTATAGAAAATGGAAGGTAGATGTAATCACCAAGGAAATTTATCAGCAAGTACCTAAATTTGTAGAAAGAAAGAATGGTTCAAACACAAGAACCTAGGCTTGCAAGGGAACCTAAAAGCTAGAAAAATAACTTTATTGGCTATGTCAGTATTAAAAGGAAGTGGTAGGCCAACTACAGATAGTCCTCGCTTAACAATAATTTGTTCAGTGACCAATGTTACAATGGCGCTGAACAAATGGTAGTTATGACTGGTCCTCGAAGTTATAGCCATTTCAGTGCCCCCACAGTGATGTGATCAGAATTTGGGGGCTTATCAGCCGGCCCGCATTTACGACCCCAGCGTGCTTCAACTCCCCCCCACATGCCTATCTCCTCACATCACTCCCCCTTTGGCTGCCCTACACTCTGCCATCCCCAGCTGACCTTCACCATCTTCTTTCTCCCTACTGGCTCTTCGCAAGGTGATGGCAGAGTGCAGGGCAGCCAAAAGGGCATACGTGGGACGGAGATAGGCGGGTGAGAGAGGTGAAGCAGAGGCAAGTGCAGCAGGGCAGGAGAAGCATGAGGTCTTCACCTAATAATGGTGGAGTCCTCACCTAATGACCGCAACTGGGACTACCAAAACTGCCATTGCTAAATGGTGGGGTCATGTGATGTTTCACCTAATGACCATTTCACTTAGTGATGAAAATTCCTGTCCCAATTAGGATCTAAAGAAGAAGAAAAAAGCCAATCAGTTTCCATGATATGCTCTTGAGCTTATACCCACCATTTTCAAGGAGAACATTGGGAATCGCTCAGAAGTCCTGAACCTTATTAACAGAGAACCAAAGGAACTGTGAATTGAACTTAAAGAAGTCATTAAGGATGAATGTGAAAAGAGAGTGCCAAAGATGGAGAAACAGGAGAAAGCAGTATTACAACATCTGTAAAGACAGATGGAAACAGACATGGAAAAACAATGTAAGATCTTCCAAAAGATCTTTGAACTCAAAAGGAGGTTCCACCTTCAAATTGTTATGCTAAAGGATGCCAATGGAGAGATAGTAACTGATTCAAAGAAAATCAAACAAAGATGGAAAAAGTATAGTGAAGTTCTGTACAACAGAGATGTCAACATCCAAGGTAACTCAGAAGATATTCTCTACTTACAAGAACCTCTCATAACAGAAGATGAAGTTCAATCAGCCCTCCCATCATTACCAAATCAGAAGGCTACAGGAGCTGATGGAATATCCATAGAAATATGGCAAGTGACAGATGAAGAATCAGTGAAGATTCTAACCAAGCTATGCTAACAAATCTGGAGAACGACACAGCGGCCAACAAATTGGAAGAGGTTAATCTTCATTCCAATACCAAAAAAGGAGATTTAACAGGCTGTGCAAACTATCATGCAATATCCTTAATTTCACATGCTAGCAAATAATACTTAGGATCATCTAAGACAGATCAGAGCCCTACATGGAAAAAGAGTTGTTGGACGTTCAAGTTGGCTTCAGAAAAGGCCAAGGAACATGAGACATTATTGCTGATGCAAGCTGGATAATTGAGAAAGCCAAAGAATACCAAAAAGAAGTCAGTATGTGCTTCATTGATTACAGAAAAGGCTTTTGATTGTGTTGATTATGTTAAGCTGTGGAATGTACTTACAAAAACCAGAATCCCAGAACATCTCATTGTCCCCATGTGAAACCTATGTACAGGTCATGAAACCAAAGTATGGACAGAACATGGTGAAACAAACTAGCTCCAAGTTGGCAAGGAGTGAGACACAGCTATATACCCTTCTCTTATATACTCAACCTAGATGCTAATATATATTAAGGGAGCTGAATTAGAAGAAGGGGACCATGGTTTTAAAGTTGGGGCTATGCTGATGATAGCCAAATCTGCAAAGGAGCTGCAAGCTCTAGTAACAAAAGTCAAGAAGCACAGTAACAAATGGAACTAAAATTAAGTATTTAAAAAAACCCAAACTTATGACAATAGGTAGAACAACCAGTCTTAGAACTGACAATGAAGATCCTGAAGGGATAGATAGCTCCTGCCTTTTAGGATCCACCACAGTAAAAGAACAAGCAGTCGAGAAATACATCGCAAACTAGCATTTGTCAGAGGAGCTGTGAAGGCCTTGGAAAAGATATTCAGATGTTGTGATGTGTAAACACCTGCAAAGATCAGAATAGTACAAACAGTGGTATTCCCTGTGACACTCTATGGAATTGAAAGTTGGACTTT